TTTTTTAAAAAGGGGATTGCATTTGTAATTTTAGTAGGTCTACGTGTTCCCTTTTGATATTATGGGAAGATAATTAATTTTTGTATGTTTCTCTTGTATTCTACAATTTTGCTGCATTCACATATTAGTTCTAGAAGGTGTGTGTGTGTGTGTGTGTGTGTGTGTGTGTGTGTGTGTGTCTATGCATGTGTTTTGTAGATAGATCCCTTGAGATTTTCTATATATTCAATTATATCATCTGAAACTAGAGGGTATTGTGTTTCTGATCTGTGTGATATTTATTTCTTTTTTGCCTTATTTCACCAGTTAGAATTTACAGCACTATATTGAATAAGAGCAGTGAGACTGAACATCCTTATATTGTTCCTAATCTGAGGGGAAAGCTTCAGTCTTTTTCCATTACCTGTAGGATTTTCATACATATATTTTTTTTCTCAAATTGAGGAGATACTTCTCTATTACTCTGTTTCTAAGGGATTTGATCATGAATGAGTATTGAATGTTGTCATATGCTTTTTGTATTAATTTATATGACCAATGTGGTTTTTCTTCTTTAGCCAGTTACTATGGACTACTTGACTGTTTTTGAATATCAAATCAGTTTTGTATCCATGGAATAAATCCCATTTGGTCATGGTGTGTAATTCTTTTTACACTGTGATAGATTTTATTTATTAATGTTTTGCTAAGTGTATGTTGCATCTATATTCATAGAGGATATTGACCTGTAGGTTTTGTTTTGTTTTGTTTTATATTGTCTTTGTGTGGTTTTGGTATCAGAGTAGTAATAACTTCATAAGATAAATAAAAAGCATACTCTTCCATGCAATTTTAGAATAATCTTGTTTTTTCTATTTTTTGGAAGAGAATGTGTGGAATTGATATTAATTCATTCTTAAATAGTTGATAGAGTTCTTTTGTGAAACCATCTGGACCTAGAGATTTCTTTTTTGAGAATATTAAAGTAAAAATTTTTAATTCCCTTAATAGTTATTGAGCTTTTCAAGTCACTGATTTAACATTGGGTAAGCTGGGACAGTTTGTATTTTAGGAGGAATTAGTCCATCTCATTTAAGTTGTTGAATTTATGTTTATAGAGTTGTTCATAGTATTCTGTTGGGATTCTGTTTAGTGATATCTCCTGTTTCAAATAATGGTAATTTGTTGTTGCTCTATTTTTTCCCCAGACTTTCTAGAGGTTTGCCAAATGTATTGATCTTTAAAGTAACCCTTCTTTCATCGATTTCTCTATTATTTTTGTTTCTAATTTCATGACTTCTGCTCTTTATTTCCTCCTTGCTTTGGGTTTATTTTGTTGGTGGTAGTTTTTGTTTTGTTTTGTTTTGTTTTGTTGTAATGGTTTTATTTTTAGTTTTTATTTTTGCTTTGTTTTGATTTGTTTTTGGTACCAGAGATTGAACCCAGGAGTGCTTAACCACTGAGCCACATCCTTATCCCTTTATCTTTTTATGTTTTGTTTTGAGACAGGCACTCACTATGTTGCTCAGGGCCTTGCTAAATTGCTGAGGTTGGCTTGGGGTGCAGCTTACCTTATTGATTTGAGACTTTTTTATTTTATAATATATACATTTAGTATTATATAGTTTCCTCTTAATATCACTTTTACTGTCTTACAAATTTTGTTATGTCATACTTTCATTTTTATTCAGTTAAATCTTCCCTTGAGATTTCCTGCAAAAGAAAGAAATTAAAGGGATATGAATAGATAAAAAAGAGCTCAAACTATTTCTGTTTGCCTTGAAACTTTCTCTTTGACCCAGGAATTATTTAGAATTTTCTTTTTAGTTTCCAGGGTTGAGAGATTTTCCTCCTTTCTGCTGTTGGTTTCTAGCTTGATTCCATTGTGGTTAGAGGACCCATTCTATATGATTTCAATTTCTTTAAACCTGTTGAGATTTGCTTTGTATCCCGAGATGTGGCTTATCTTGGTGTATGTTCCGTGGTCACTTGAAGAGAATGTGCACCCTGCTCTTGTTGGATGACGTGTTCTCTAAGTGTCAAATAGATTCTGTTGGTTAGGGGTGTTTTCTGTATCCTTGCTGAGTTTTTTTT